ACCATTCTATGATTCTATTCTATGAAGCTATGAGGGCACCAACAATGACAGTGCCACATTTTTTAATATAGTGTCACTGGGCCATGCTGGGAAAGGGACAACCATAATTTCAAAGACAAAAGAAACTTAAAGACTTGGGTAAATTTCCTATCAAAGCAGCTACACCAGGGCTGCATTTCAGAGGCCACCGTGTTCAAAGGAAGGCTGCACAATGTCAGTGAAAGGCTGCAGGAGCCGTGGAGAACAGGGAGCGGCAGGGCAGGGGTGACACACGGCTCAGTTCAAGCCCAGGCCCCCAGAGAATGAATGGTGCCAGTGATGTCACCACCCTCCAGCAGTCAAGGCCCAGTGTCTACCTGAATGTCGTAGTGATCCTTCAGTCCATCCTCCACGTGGTTCAGGTACTCGTAGATATCCAGTCGGTCAAGGCAGCTCTCCAGCAGCGTGTACATGCACTCGAACGCAGCTTTCCTCACGTCCAGGCCATCATCCACTGTGTGCTTGAACGGCCCCATTTCTACCTTAAGCAAGAGGAAAACCACAGCTGCCACCCGACAGCAGAGTGGGCGGCAGCTTCTCCCGGCCGCGCCCGGGCCCAGCCCCACGTACCTCCCGGATGAGCTCCCGCCGCACCCGCGTTTCGGCGTACAGGCTGGGGAGCGCCGAGCCCAGGAGCTCTCGGATCAAGGACGGCTTGTTGTGAGCAGCAGAGTTGAACAGGGCCAAAGCCACACGTCTGACGTTCAGGTCGGGGTCCTGAAGGGTTTTCAAGAAGTCACCTGTGGGACAGGGACAGGCCCGTCAGTCCCGCTGCAGTGTTTTACACGGACCTCAGAAGGACGTCACGGCGTGTTTCGAGGGGCCTGGTTATGAAAGGACCTGTGGTGAACCAACTCCAGGGGCACAGGCTAACAGAGACATTCGAGACGCTTTCCCTGCCTTCCTTTGGGACACAGTAAATGGAAGAAACACGACTTGCCTGCATTTGGGTGTAAAACCAAACCGCACGATTCCAGCTACCCCCTCCTAAAGTCAAATCAGAAGCTTTGGTATTCAAGGAAGTTGTGTTTTTCTTTTTCTTGCAGAGATCTCACCTGCTCAGACTGCTCTGAAATGGAAGGCCCAGTTTTATACCACAGATCTGAGATGTGGGCTCCCTAGATGTAAGACCCTTTTAATGTAGGTTATATTTTCTGAGATCTTTATCATGAGATGATTGAATCACAAATTTAGACGCAGAAGGATCTTACACTCCCTAGAAAGCTCTGTCCCCAAGAGCGAGGCCCTGGAGCTTGCAACTCCCGTGCCCTTACTCACATCACGCTGTTGCTCCTTAAGCCCAAACGGAGAGGAAGACAGACAAAAACTGTGTGGGTCAGAAGAGGGCTGCATAGGTGTGGCAAGCCCTGAGCTGCTGGCCACGCCCCCCGCCCCCGCCCGGCTCTGCCCTGGGTACCTATGCAGCCCCTCAGGAGCCCATCGACGGGCTGCGGCTGGTCCGCGATCGTGAACTTCACCGCGGTCACCACCGTGCTCCGGGCGTGCGGGGAGCCTGCGGGGAGAAGAGACAGGGAAAGGCTGAGGCAGAGTCACTGCTGCGACTTCTGGCACATACTCCACTCTTGGTCACGTTACACATGTGCTGAAGAGAGAATGGAATGGAGGATTTCTCTTAACAACCTCCTTGTTTAAATCCTGCTCCTGCACAACCTCCATGTGCAGCCCCTGTCCCCGAGACCCCCGCATGCAAACCAGGGCTCCTCTGACCCCCCTTGCAGAGATCCCTCGTTTCCTTCTCGCCTCTGCAGACTGGCTGTGCTCCCTGTGGTGCCCCCCGGGGGTTGCCAGGAGGACTTCCCATCACCACCGCCCTGCCCGTTACCTGACGAGAGCTGTTTCTTCAGCCGGGGCAGCAGCTCTGAAGGGTTCACCAGTGTCAGCTTCCCCAGGCATTCAGCCACCACGTTGCGCGTCCCTTCCTCCGTGCACTCGCAGTGCTTGAACAGCAGCGCCCAGATATCCTCCACGTAGGGTTTGAGGCCGTCGGACGGGGAGGAGCTGATGACTTCCTTCAGCGAGTGCAGCAGGAGGTACTGCCTCTTGGGCTGGCTTCCGATCTCCTTCAGCATGAAGGGCAGATACTCCTTCAGACTCCCCACGCTGACGCTGCCCAGCGCGTAGGACGCGGCGGATTTCACCTCCTCGCTGGGGGAGGCGAACGCCTCCAAGATGACGGTTTTGAGCTCGCTCTGAGCACCGAGGTTCGTGGTGCGGCCCACCTCTGCCAGGGAAAGGAAAGCCAGCACCTTCACAGCAGCGCTGGACTTGGGGCTTTTGACATCCTGGATGCACTGGTTCACTGTGGCAGGGGCTTCCCTCGGGCAGGCCGAGCACAGGGCAGCCACGCACCTCGCCACAGAGTGATGCGCCTGCCTGTGGAGCGGCCCCGCCGCCCCGGCTGGGCCCGAGCAGTAAACGGGCACTGTCAGCCTCTTCATCAGCTCCGCGTAGCCCACGGGGGCCGTCTTCGTCAGAACCAGAGCCTGGAGGAAGTCCACGATGGCGTTCAGCGCCCCTCCCTGGAGCAAAGGCGAGTGGACGAGCTGAAAGACCTCACCAAGGATGGAACCGCTCATCTTGGAGATGCAGGTTGGGTAAACCTTAGCCAAGGTAGTGAGGAACACAACAGCCACCTGGGAAACGTGCATGTCGTTCTCAGTAACTAAGGCAGGGAGCTCCGCTAGGACAGCCTCTATCATGGCAGGCTTGAGGCTGTCACTGTAGTTCTTCACCAGGATGTCCAGAGCAGTCAGAGTGCTCAGTTTCAAGGCACGTTGATTCTTTCTCAAGAAGGAAGCTAGAATGGGGAAACCTTCCCCTAGAATGGGTCTCAAATCTATTTTAAGTGGAGAACTAGCAATTAAGGTTAATGCTTTGACTGTTGTCAATCTGGTGATTTCATTTTTGAGCCTCTCCAGAAATATCTTCAGGGTTGGTTGGAGGTCGGTGCTTAAATGGTCTCCCAGATGGTAAATAATTTGTCCCATGCAGGAGATGGCACGTTCCTTCACCTCCTGGTCGATGTCCGCTGCCTTCAGGCGCTTCAGCGTGCCAGGGAAAAGGTCCTTCACATAGGGCTTGGCATCAAAAGTGCAAGATTTGTCCAAAGGCCTAATAACTTTCACAAGTTGCTGAGTAACCAGCAGAGCTTCTGAAGTGATCTTATAAAAGGGGTCTCCAATGCAGGCCACAACAGGAGGTAGCAGGCTTTTGATATGAGGATGAAATACCTCTGGCTGGTGGTTGCAGAGAAGAACATAGAGGAAAGACAGCGTGTCAATCCTCATGTTGGAGGAGCTGGATTTATCAGCCAAGGAGAAAACAATGCCTGTGCAGAAGAGACAAGAGTGACTGCTGTCTCAGTTCATCACATTTCTTTATCACACACTCCCCCACCAAGATGGACACAGTTGGGTTTAGTTTTGTTCCCTTCCTCTCCCCACCCAGAAGACACATGCCATTTGGGACAGCTCCTCTCCTTGCTGTCTTCCTGCTCTCCAGCAAGTGGCAGTTCAGACATACCCCATCTTTGTGGCAGTGCTGGGTGGCTGGCTACAAGAACATTTTAAGAAGTTAATTGGCAAAGTCATCCCATTGGGTTGAAATGAGAAGGGATGGTGAGGCAAGAGCAAATAACTGAGACAGGGAAAGCCTCATCTCAACAACAGGCACCCCAGGCCGCAGGAATTCCCCTGCATGAGTTTTTCCTTCATGTTTACCTAGTTTTACACCTTCTGTTGGTATTGTCTGGAACATAACTGTGGGCCATTAAAGGTGGACTGTCTTTGCAGAGGGAGGTACTTCCACATCCCATTTCTGTGGCTCATATTTATGTTTCCCAGACTTTAATGAGGAACATTTACACCGGTCCTGCTTGCCACCCCTGAAGTCACACCCAGCTCTTGGTCTGAATGGTTTTGTCCAATCTATTAATTTGTAAAGGGGAGGTGGGTGGATCCAGCCCAGAGACAGTCACAGGAGACATTTTGTATATTTACTGTACAGTCAGAGCAGAAGCAAAGGCAGGGCCTCAGTACTCTGAGCCTTTCAGCAGTGGGATGCTTCATGAGCCAACAGGCAGGAAAGCTCTGAGAAAAATGTGTCAGTGCCAATTAAGTAATCAGCCAATACAAGTAAGTTTTTTAAATGACACTGCATTTTGTAAAAGAAAACACCATTTGTGCTACTGATCTCAGTGGGGATCTTCCAGTCAGCTTCCAAGGAGGCTGGAACAGGCCCTCCTAAAAGCATCTCTTCAGGGGACTGTGGAAATTAACTCAGTATTGTTATCCTGGCTTTCATCTCTGTCCCTCAAAGACAGGAGCCAGGGTTGCTCTGGGAGCTGTTCAGCCCATCAGCACAGAGCAGAACTGGCTGTGTGTGTGCTGATGCTGGGCAGGTTCAGAGGAAACCCTGAGCATGCAGGCAAGGAGCAGATGTGTGGGCAGGGGCCGAGCCAGCCCCACTCCCTCAGCCCCAGCCCAGGGACACACCAGGGACCAGCACGGCGATGTGATCTGCCAGGCAGCCAGGAAGAACATTGGCCAGTTCTGTCAGGAGGCTGAAACAACCCTGTCGTGACTTGATGCTCTTCTCTCTGAGCTGCTTGTGCAAGGCCTTGATGATCTTGGGGACCTGCAGTTTGGAAAAGAAAACCAGAAAGAAAGGCATCAGTCATCCCAGCTTCCAGAGCACAGGGCTGTGCTACCACAGCAGCCCGTGCTGCTGAGCAGAGGCACTGACAGCACAGTGAGGGAGCTAACGGGACAGCAAGAGTGCACCAGTTCTCCAGAGACCAGGCAGGGGCAGGTTACAACACAGTGCAGGTGAAGATACAGGAACAGAAGAGCAGGAGGGGATGTTATTCTGCTTCTCCATATTCTACAGACTCCTACACAGCCCTTCCTGAAGGTGGTGTTACACCCCAACACAAGCTCAAAGAAGTACAACAATATGATCAGACCAGGACATGCTGCTAAAGGAGATTAGAGTTTTAGGATTCCTTCCTGGTCTGCTGTTTATTAAACTCTGTTCAAACTTGGACTCCCTGCCAGAGTTTCAGTGAAATCAAAAAACAAATGACAGGGCTGAGGTGCAAGTTACTGAAATAAATCTCTCATACACATAAGATGATTCATCAGTGATGTGATTACATTTTGGCAGGGATTTTATCCCTCCTGCTTCAAGGCCTCTCCAGTCAGCAGCTCCAGCGCGGTGCTGCCGCCCTGAACGCCCCCTCCCAGCACGGCGGCAGACAGGCCATGGCAGGGCCTGGGGACAGGGTCCCTCTGCCTGCCTGCCCACGGGCTCCTGCAGCTGGCTCCGCTCTCAAGCTTAACCCCCAGGCATGTTCAGGGGTGGCACGGGCCCCACTTCTCTTCAGTGCCCCATGCGTGAAGCCCCCCCGGGCACCTGCTTCTGCAGCATTCCCAGGGGCACATCGTCCTTGCCAGCGGCGTCTGGAGCGTGCAGCCAGCTCTGCATGGGCAGCGTCTGCTTCAGCAAGGAGATGTAAGTGCTGAAGATGTCGGCTTTGACGTTCTCCTCCCTCTCTTTGAACCTGCTTATCAAGACTGGGGAGAGAGTGTTGTAGAAGTCCTGAAGCAGATCGTGCCTGGTGCTGACGATGGCCTCCAGGCACTTGGCCGCAGACCTGCGGACCTTCCAGCTGATGTCGTCATCGTCGCTGTACTCCTCCTCGCTTTCTGCAGAGACAAGGGAAAACAAGGTGCACCATTAGCAGAAAGCTGGAGCTTGAGGACCACTTGATTCTCAGAGCTTCCCTCTCCAGCTGACCTGACACAGGTGCCAGTAACTCTCACACACCTGGGAACACAGGCTGCCCGGACAGCCTGTCCCTGCAGGCGTTAGTACCGGCAGCATGACCCGGGGCTGCCCTGCGCCAGCTTCTTCTGCTCCAGGTCAGAGCTGATGGAGGATAAACCTCAATGTTACTACTCTCAGTGGCCACTTCAGCTCAGGCATCAAGGTTTATGTTTTGAAGTGAGAATGAGGTTCACAGATTTTCAGGCCAGAAGCAGGTAAATATTTGTCTTAGCAATTCCCGACTGGCACCGACCAGTGTAACAATTCACTGTGCTACTGGCAGAACGTTTAACAGACTCCCCAGGAAGCCAGCCAGAATCCCACCCCAATTAGTACAAAAGTAAAAAAAAAGCCTTTCTTCCGAAGAACTTGATCTAACTTTTGCTCTTAGCTGCCACACTGTATGCATCTATAGACAGGGACGTTATGAAATGCTGTCTGTAGCTAGCAGGCATTAAAGGTACCCCTCCTACCTGACCAGGGCTCAACACCCACCTCAAAGTAAACACAAGTTGAAATATGAATGAAAGGCCTCTTTTGCAGCCACTATCAGATTGCTTTCATTGACAACTAAGATGTTTTTAGTGGTGGATTAAGATGTTTTCAATAGTGGCACTTTTAAGTGGTCAAGACTGTGGCTTTGCTCTCTTCTGGTACAACGTAGTAAAAAATAGCTACCTTTTAGTAAAAAGGCCTAAGGCAGGCAGAGATGTGAGGACTCTGTCAGAATAAAATAAAACTAACAAACTCAGAATCCCTGCTGGAACTTTGCACATACAGCTAAGTTATTACCATTGGTAAATTAAAACAACCCATTTAAAACAACTGTCTGTCCTGAAGCAGATCTGAAAAGAAACCTCACAGAGGGTGAGAAAGCAGGAAGGGGAGAAATGTTAACCCAGCATTCTGCTGAGCACAGTCATCCTCACACGCAGGCACCTTGCTCTTCATCCTCCCCATTTTCAGTTTCCATCATATCTTCCTCGTCCTCCTCATTATCATAGTTGTAGTTTGGGTCAAAGGTGATGTACTTCAAACATAACCCCATCACGTTAGGGATGTGAGGGTCCATTTCCTTTGGGCACCTATCACAGCAAATAAAAATCCTAAGAGTTAATAAACTGCAGACTAAGCTATTTTAAATATCCAAATAATATAATCTCAAAAGGATCCCCAGATGCTTCCCAGGCTTTATGAGCATCTTGTTAACACCAGTTAAACCAGAGCTGCTCCTTCCTGCTGTGCACGAAGCAAGACCACATTGCCCCGGGGAGGATGCCATGACTTTTGTCAGGAAATAAAATAAATAAATAGCCTTCATCACCCATCTGAATGCTGCTTTCTCGGGAGGAAACCTCAGCAGCTCTGCAGGGCTCCTTTCCAAGACAAGCAGTAAACGCCTGACCAAACAACAAGCGAGCTGCAGCTCAGCAGCTTTCCTGCCTGAGCCCCCTTCCTGCCTCCCCTCCCTCCACACCCCAGGAGTGAGGCTGTTCCCTCCTGCTGAGGAATCCTCCAAGGACAAGGAAAACTCCCACTCCTGCAAAGCCAATGCAGAAACAAACGCTCTCACATGTTGAGGTAAAATAGCTCCTAAGTGAAGCCCAGCACTGCACATGAACACGAAACTTCACTTTTGAAGGGTCTTTCCCAACAGGGGTGTGTGTAGGAAGGTACTGAGCCCTGGGTGCTGAGCATGCAGCCACTCACACCAGCAGGACACTGGTGCTCAGGATGGGCACAGCTGTTCCTCACGGGCACACACCTTCTCACAAAAGACTCGAAGGCCTGAAAGCAGTACTCTCTCAGCTCATCATCTTCCACATTACAGTACTGAACAATCAGAGGAATTATCTTCTCCAGATGTTCTCCTGGGAAAGACAGAGTACACAGCAGTGAGAAGTCACTCCAGCCTTCATCCCTCCAAGCAGCTGACAGGTCAGCCATCTGCCACCTCCCTCGTGTGCCCGGCAGAGCCTTCCTCCCCTGACCTCCCAGGCAAGGAGCCAGCAGCCCACCTAAGACCAGCCTTGCAGGGATTTTCAGCAGACAACCCCTGCTCCCTGTCTTCAGCCTCTTGTTGGCATTTCAGTTGTGGCAAGAGCTGTGATTAGAGATCTTCTAGGACTTAATCTCAGCTCTGGCAGATCTTTCAGACAAGTAATACAATATGCCACCCTCCACTTCTCCACTCATTTAAAATGGGTGAATCCACTGACCTAATTCACAGAGGTGTTAGTGCAGAGCAGGGAAGCACTGCAAGACTTTGAGATGAAATCAATACACAAGTGCAGCCAGAGAGTTACTCTGGTGCCTCCTCCTTTCCAAGTGGAGATCAGAGAGCCAGGTCAGGACCACAGAGGGGAAATCACAAAGCACAGGCTACAACTAGGTTAGGAGCAGAGTGAGCACACATCTTCTAGCACTGGAAGGAGCTGCTCTAAAATCCAAACACATTTCCCAGCAACATTTTAAGCTACTCATCCTACCTAGGCGGTGTCCAGCCTGCCTGCTGATGCCAGCAACACACTGAATGTAAGTCCTGGTAGTAGAAGTAGACTCATTCCTCTTCAGCTCGCCAAGCAGATGCTTTATGAGCTCTGAGAAGATGTTTCCACTGCAGGTCAAAACAAGATGACCCAGGGCAATGATGGCCCTTTTACGTACTGCCAGCCTGGGGCTTGTCAGCTGGGGCAGGAGGCAGTTCAGGATGGAGGAATGGAAGGAGTAGAGTGTTCCTCCTAGTCTGCAATCAACAGAACAAGGCACAAGTTGAAAGTCAAAGCCTTAGAGAAAAATATCTCTTCCCAGCAAAAAAACTAAAACTCCTTCAGCTCTGAAGACTTCATGCACGTTGTGGGGAGGGAAAGGAAAAGGGTGGGTTTGACACTGTGGTCTGAACACTGACTGGTTCTGCAGAACACAGGGAGGGGTGATTCATCTCCACCATGGAGGAGTCTGAATTTGACTGTGTCCTTCTGGGTGACCCGGGGGTTTGTCAGTAATGCCCCGCACGCAGCTGGCATATGACACTGTCACTCTGACTTATGTAACAAGAGGCAGCCAGGAAAAAAAACAAATCCATGTGCACTCAGATCACTGGGCTAAAATAAACTTCCCTGCTTTGCCCTCTCCCTGCCCGTGCCTGTCCCAGCAGGGCCTCAGGGGGACCCCTCCCCAGCACTGCTGCTGTGCCCTGGCCCAGCACTGCTCAGCGTGCTGCTGCTCAGCCCCCTGGGGAGCCCCCGCTGCCAGATACTCCCCAGTGGCAGCCAACCCAAATCCTTTACTTTTAAATCCCTGTAGCAGGATTAGGGAAATACAGAAATCCAAGGCAGATACAAGCAGCCCTCTGCCAGAAGGAAATCCTTTGGTACCTGCTCAGCATATCTGACAGGATGTCAAGAGCCTCCAGCTGCACGGAGACATCCTCCTGCTTGCCAATGGCTCCTGTCAGCTGGGCTGTGATCTTTTTGCACACATTCGCTGTCATGGTGGAGCCTGCAAGAGAGAGATTTTTCCCCACTGTCAGTTAAAAATAAACCTTTTTACTGCTAAGAACCAATGAATCCCTCCTACATCAGAAAAGAAATCACCAGTGGAAGGCCTACCAGAGCAGCAGTCCACTGGGTTTTGTGTGAGATGGTCCCTGAGGTCTCTGCCCATGCAGTACAATGTGTTAACTACCTGGGAGAAGCTTCTCTTCCCAGATTGTCTTCTACCCTCAAACACCCTGGCTGGCTCCCAGGCAGCTCCCAGGCCAATGCCATGCAGGGAGCAGAGCCAGGTGAGGAGTTTCTGGCATGTTTTTTCCCATTTTTAATTTGAAAATGCTCCGTTTCAGCAAATCGAGGTTTTCTCAGTAGAAGAGCATCTTCACAGAAACTGTCTCTCAGCTCTGTGACGAAATTTAAGGGTAGAACCAGACAAATCTGTCTCAAAATAATATATAACCCAGGTTCAAGATCGTGTTGAGATTACCACCTCAGTCTAGAACCTCAACCTCCTGCAGTCCAGATCAATGTCTAGATACCAGTTTAGTCTCTGTGCTGGAGTGTGCTGTCCCAACACTGACTTATGTTTTGGGTTTTTTCCCAGTTGGTTCAGTGCAGCTTCAAATTCCACAAAACTTTCAAAGGAAGGACAATTGCTTCCCATGCCACTCTGAACAGCCTTTGTGATGCAACAGAGACAAAGCAGAAGTGGAGCATCCTCAGAGCATCATCAACTGCTGCACAACACGGAGAAGGGAGCCTGCTGCAGGCACACACTAGGCCTTTGACTATGATCTCAAAGCTTCCCTTTCCTCCAGACAGCACCACAGCAAGAGCAGCCACATGGCATGGGGCTTAGGGTGAAGAAAGCCCACAGGGAGATGTCCACCCTCTCCATTTTGCAGCAAACCCACGCTGCTCTTGCTGCTTTTCACCCACAGAGTGTCAATCCCAATCCATACGGGGATGACTTACCTGTTGCTGCCCTAACACAGTTCCAGTTCATGTGATATATGTTAAATAAAGGATTCTGAAAGGATGGTTTGCAAGAGCTTAATGTTTTGCAGAAATTGAGAGAGCAGTTCAGCAAGCATTGGCATACTAATTCCAGTTCCCTTCCCAACCTAAAATCCAGCAGCCTGGCAGCACTGCCACGGCCACGTGCCAGGAAGGAACAACAGATACATGAGATGGCTGCAGAGGAAACTTAACTCTCTGGAGCCTCTCCTGAACAGCTGCTGCATGCCAGGGTCCCAGGGCAGGAGCTGCAGCCAGGGTGCCGTGGCAGTTGGAAGACTTTGTCCAGGGGGGCTGCAGGCAGGGGTGGTGCAGTGCCAGCAGTGCCCAGACCGCAGCGGGCAGCGACACGGCTGACGTGGAGACCAGTGGCCCTGCCAGGCTGCCCAGACAGCAGGGCCTGGAAAGGCTGCTGAATGCTTTGGGAGTGCCATAAAACAACACGGGGTTGCTCCGGGAACTCGGGTGCAGTTTCAGGCTTAAGTATCCTCAGGGTGACCAGCTCAAGTTTTCATTTCATGCCATCTTTAATCACACTGGTGTCTCAGCTTGTACTATCTCTCCTCGTTATTTCATTAGCTGTCCTCTAGCAGATGAACAAGGAGCCTGTAACTTTTTGGCTCTGAATTACACATTTTCCACCATTTCCCAGAGGCTGCTGTTCCCTGCTGCCTCGGGCCAAGAAGGAGGGACAGAGGTTTACCTGTGGAAGCTGGTGGCAGCTCAGAGATGACAGTTTTCAGGCCGATGCTGGAGATGTCCCGCAGCTGCTCCTTGTCTGACAACATGTTGGCACACAGCGTGTCCACGATGGTTTCCACCTGGTACTCCTTCACTTTGCCCACCAGCGGGCCCAGGCTGCGGGAGGAAAGACCCGTCGGGATGAAGAGGAAGAGGGACAGTTTCCACAGCAAAAGGGATGCTCAGGGTCACTGCTCCTCAAAGGCAGCTCAGCCCCAAGTGCAAATGTTACCAAAAGATCAGTGTCTGTACCAACACCCCACAGCACAGGCTGTGTCCCCAGGTTTACATACGCTGCATTGTCGTCGCAGTTAACTCTACAGCAGACTGGAGTGGATTTCAGGTCAGATTCGTAGGATCTGTAGGTTTTTAATGCAACCATAGACAAACAAGCAAAGACATTTGTACTGTGTTCAGTGGCCAACAGTTTTGCTTTAAAAAACAGAATGAACAACCCAAAGCAGGCAGAGACAGGAACAGGGCCAGAAACAGTCAGAACAGTGGGCATCAAAAAGAAAGGGCCAGGTCACAGGAAAAGTACAGGGATAGAAACAGTATAGGGATAAAAAGGAAGTAATATGAATAAGATCCACAGTATGAAAGAATACAGGAACCCAAAGTTGTCTTTAAATGGCCCACCTGTCTGGAGCCCTGCGCGTGCACTGACCCACTCAATCCCATGTCTAGAATGAACACTCCCATTCAGACATGCTGGGGAGAAGGACAGGAAGGGACACGTCAGCAGCGGGGTCACGTCACCACACGGTTCAGTACCAGAGGAGCCTCCTGCCTTTTCCAGGGGGATTAAAAAACATACAGAAATGGTCCAAAGCAAAGCAACAGCACAGGCTGCACTTGGAGTCAAAGCAGCGAAAAAACCCAAGCACATTATAAACTTTAATGAAATGCCCTTGAAGAGTAGGATTTGGACCTGAAATTCAAGTGTGTTTTTGGAGGGCTATACATGTTTAGCACCATTCTATCAAAGGCAGGGCCACTGGGAAATTCAGCACTGGACTTCCAAGCCCTAGAAAGGAGAGGAACTTGATGATTAAAATGATAAACTGGGCTTCTGTCTGAAGAAATAAAACCTTAGACAAATTACTTTTAAGATGTTAAGATTCTTAATATAACCACTGAGCTATGTCCCTGCTGCTCCAGGGCCGCCTGCAGGCTCAGCCTCCTGAACCCACAGGGCAGCTCCCCTGTGCCCGCTGTGCCCGGCAGGGCAGCGGGAGGTGTTCTGGGGTGCCCGCGCCGCGGGGCCGGGCTCCAGCCCGCCGAGGCCCTTACCACTTCACAGCCAGGTTCTGCACTTCCCCGTTCTTGTCCTCCAGCAACTTCAAAAGCATCTTCACAACTTTTTTCTCGCTGTCTTCATCTAGTTTTATTGAATCTTTCTGCAGTTCCACCATCAAGTCGTTGGTGGCCATAAACCTGAAAGACCATACAGCAGAAATGGATTGGCTGAGATACAGACACAAATATTTGCACCACCTTGGAGAATGGAACTTGGTGGCTAGTGCTTGTATTTAAACACACTTTCAGAGAGTAATTTACAGCCTTTACACTGGCCTGAAAAACAAGGTACAAAGAATTATTTTTACTCTACAGGTGGAAAGCTCAGACAGAGGTAGCTGCTGAAAAGGCTTTAGCTAATGAATCTGTGAAAACTAGGAATACATATTCTCTCCTCTCCTTAAAATACGTAACAGGGATGGGGTAAACCAAAACTCTAAAACTGGCAGCTGGCTTGTGTATTTCTTCTCAGTGACTAAAACAAGATGATTAACTGTGCTAGATAAAAATCACGGTGGGTTTTTTCCCCACCAATTGCCTGGCCTAGAAAACCAGTCTAGGGTCTCAGAATGAACCTGTCTCTGTTCCTTCCATCTTATTTAGCACTGCCAGTATCACTCAATGCATGGAGAAGGCCTATCAAACTCAAAAATGACAATTAAAGTCTTGACTCCAGGCAAACTAGACCTTAGAAGGTTGCTAGGCTACATTTAGATAGCTGTGAGCAAAACCAAGCAAGTATTTATTATTCCACCTTAGAAGGAAAAAAACCCTCCCAGCTGACTGTCAGTCAATGTAATTTTCTATTGGGCAATGCTGAAATGGATATGGAGACATTCCAGAGAGTATCTGTTTTCCTGGGAGCAGGGAATGTAAAATGCTAGTACAGAAGCCTGAGGTTCTGAGAAATGTTACTGTGGTTATGGCACTTTAGCTGGTTCCTAATGCTGGCCCCAGCACAGGGGCGGGTGTCGGGAAGGAACCACAGAGAAGCTCTTCCCTCTCATTTACCAGATGACACTCTGCTTTAAATTAGGCTCTGACGTAATTCATTCAGCATGTGAGAGCCCTCGTGTCCTCCACCCGCAAGCCCCTTCCTGAGCAGCACCGAGCACGCCTGGGACCGGGGCTGCCGTGGAGTCAGGCAGCCTGAGACCCAAAATGAGAGGGCAGAGGCACCCTGCCCGAGGGCGCTCACGACACGCTCCCTCTCTGCGCTGCTCAGCGAGCGACTCGGCTGCGCTCGCAGCAGAACGTCTGCGCAGAGGAGCATGGCCAAGTATGGCCAGAGAGCCGCACGGCCGGCCCTGGCTCCTGCCCGCTGC